GTTGTCGCCCTCGTCTCACTTCTGCGTGTCCATTGCCCTTGTCTTTGTTTGTTTGTTTGTTTTCTTCCTCTCTCCCTCTATTATATTAAGCCCCGCTATCTTAAACAGGAGGCGATGATATCTTTGGCGCTTTCGCAGCTGCGACTTTCGCGAGAGACAGCTGCTGCGCAGGTGCCCAGAGTCTGTTCGAAAGACCAGGCTGCAGAGGCGGCTGCGATTCGCACATTCGTCGGACTCGCTGGCCCTCTGGCTGTTACCTTCCTGCTCTCTTGAAAAAAGAGAGGACTTCAAGGGGCGTCAAAACTGGCTCCAGGAGGCGCCCGAGAAGCATGCCAAGAGGCCCCAACGGATCTTTCAGAAGCACTGGCGACGGACCCTGCCTTGTGCATGCACGTGCAGCGCAGGGCGCGGCTGCCGAATAATCCGGGTGCCCCCCGCGCGAGCACGCCCACTGAGGCCGCGGGTGAAGCTCCATTTGGGGCATCTCCCGCGTGAGGCATGTGTCGAGATTCAGCATCGTTCAACCTACTCCCCACCGTGCCATGGTATCTCAGACCCACCCTCTCACCCCTACTGGGGACAGGCCCCTCGAAGCCCGAAGGAACAGGGATGCATACCGATCCAGTGGTGCAATCGGCCAGTGGGGCCAGGGCCACGCCAGTGGGATTAGGGATCGGTTCAGCGATGCTCAGGAGTATTTCTGAGCATCGTTCAGCGATGCCAGTGGGATCAGGGATCGATTAAACTATGCTCAGACATAGTTTTCGCGGTTAACGATCCCCCCGCCCATTTCGAAATGGACTGGGGGATCCCGTGCGAAGTTGCCCATTTGTGGCATAGGTGGAGCTCCTTTCTGGGTTACGACTCGCTTGATGGGTGTGCCGAGATGGGCTGGGGGACGGTGTGCGGACCTGGTCTCTGGGGCTGTGCGTGGTGCTCCCTGTGGGGCACGATCCGGGTGAGGGGTGTGCTGGAATTGGCGGCGGGGGCGCTGTGCGAAGCCTGTCTCTGGGGCCTCCTGGGATCTTATTGAGGGCCTTTTTGGGGCCCTCTTGGGGGCCTCTTGGGGGCTCTTGGGGCCTCGTGGGTAGCTGTCTTGGGTCGCTCTTGCGCGGGCTGGCCCCTTCCGGGAGGCCATCTTGCGGGCCTCTCGGAGCCGACCTCTTCGGGTCCTCTTGGGCTGTCTTGTGGGCCTCTCCTGTGTCGTGTTGGGGCTCTTGGGGGCCTCTCGGACCGTCTTGGGGACATTTTGGAGGCTGCGTGGGCCGTCACGGGCCCCCGAGAGTTCGTTCAAAACGGCCAGAACGCCCAAATCCTCCAAACACACCGGCAGTGAGACGATGTTTGTATCCACCCAAGGGATAACACGTGTTATCCCCCCCTGCCCCCCCCCCCGTGACGTTAACACCCCGGCCGGGTCCGGTGCGCGATCCCTGGCAGCCTAGGCTGTGGTGCACGCGGGCACTGCTAGTGCCGCGGTGCACGCGGGCGTGCAGTATGGTGTACGCAGGCACTGCGGTGTACACGGGCTTGTGGCGCACGCATTTGTCGTTGCACCAGCAGCTGTGGTGTACACAGGCATAGTGGGTATACGTAAGCATTGTTGTATCATCATCACAAGCCTTGTGGTGTACACAGGCGCCGTGATGTACACAATCGCTGTAGTGCCCAACGTCTCTGTAGTGCCCAACGTGCGCGTTGTGGGCTATAATGAACGCCCGCATCTCTTCCTACATATTCCTCTTCCTCCCTTTTTATTTTCGTCTTCATCATCGTCGTCTTCCTTGCGTATATAGGACGCGGGCATTGTGGTGCAAACAGGCGTTGTGTCGCACATCGCTGTGGGCTCACAAAGTCAAGCGTTCCTCGGGCCAGGAAAACCCAATAGTCACAATCAGATCACATATTGAATCTGATTCATTCGGGCCCCCAGCGATTTCCCGGACTTTGGCTCCGTCTGGGCCGTAGAGGTGTACTTAGACAAGCTTTGTGGCAAACGCAGGCGCGGAGGGGTGCTGAAACAGCAGCTGTGGTGTCAATAATCGCAGGGGTTGCGGTGCAGACGGCTGCTGTGGTGTACGCAGCCATTGCGGTGTACACAGGCGCCTCGAGATCGCAGTTCGCCCATCTATTCCCCAGGTCAAACCGGAAACCGGGGTTTTCGGACAGGGCGCCTGCGACCTCCTCGGCAGGAAGTTCACCGCTGCTTTTTGACGGGTGCACTCGCGCCCGCTGGGTGCACGAGGCGTGGTGCCCGCAGGGTCAGCGTGCGTACGCGGGCACCGTGGTGCACAGGGGGTGCTGAGACAGCAGCTGTGGTGCACGCAGGCGCCGTGGTGTGCACCATCAAAGATACGTACAGAGGCGCTGTGGTGCACACGGTTGTTATGATGTACACAGTCGCCGTGGTGCACACACATACTATTCCTGTAGCAGTCTTGGTGCACAAGGGCATCGTGGTGTACAGAGTACAGAGCCCATGTTGTGTGCACAAGCGCTGGGCTTGGACGACGACGACGGCAACGACTCAGGCGGCGCGCCTCGGGGGGTGCGCGCCGCGGCCTCCGTTACCGTTACCTCCCCCCACGCCGCCCCCTCCCAGGATAACGTGTGTTCTCCCAGGGAAAAACCAATTGTCAGTTGGGCGATCTTGGGCCCTTCTTGGACCGTCTTGGGGCGGTCTTTGGGGTTTTTGGGGCCATCTTGGAGTGTCGGAATCCCGAAAACGCGAGAACGCGCAACACATCGAAACACGCACCAGGAAAGTCACTGGTTTTTGCTCTTTGGGTCCTCTTGGGCCTCTTGGGTGTCGTTCTTAGGGTTTCTTTGGGGCCTCCTGTGCCGTCTTGAGGCCATCTTGGGCGTCTTGGAGCGCTCTTGGACTGTCTTGGAGACTCCTTGGACCCTCTGGGGCGCTTTCTGGGGCACTCGGGGCCCATCTTGGGGCTCTCTGGCCTTTGGAAAAGTCACGCGAGGCAGCCCAGGAGCGCGCGGGAGCGCCCAGGACATTTGAGCAGTTGGGGTCCCAGTCTTTCGCATACCAGAATCCCATCGTCCTGAGTATAGAGTACAGAGGACACATGAGAGCCTCGGGGGAACTCAACTTCGCGGCGGATTATGTTTCTGATTATTGTTATGATTGTTCGCATCATTGGTATTATGTTTATTCAGTTTGTTATTAATTTTGTTGTTGTTGGTGGTGGTCCTTTTGTTGTTGTTGTTGTTGTTGTTGCTGCTGTTTCTGTAATTGCTGTTGTTGCTGCTGTTGCTGCTGTTATTGTTGTTGTTGTTGTTGTTGTTGTTGTTGTTGTTGTTGTTGTTATTGTTGTTGTTGTTGTTGTTGCTGCTGCTGCTGCTATTGTTGTTGTTGTTGTTGTTGTTGTTGTTGTTGTTGTTGTTGTTGTTGTTGTTGTTGTTGTTGTTGTTGTTGTTGTTGTTGTTGTTGTTGTTGTTGTTGTCGTTGTCGTTGTCGTTGTCGTTGTCGTTGTCGTTGTTGTTGTTGTCGGGCCTCTGGGAGCCTCTGGGAGCCCCTGGGGGCCTCTTGGGGCCTCCTGGGGGCCTCTCGGGGCCGAGGGCTCGAAGTGTCTGTCGGGGTCCTCCATCTGGGCCCCTCTTGGAGCCGCCTTCGGGGCCTGTCGGGCAGTCTTGGAGGCCTCTTGGGCCGTCTTCGGGCCCTCTGGGGCGGCCTCCGGGTTTGAACGGCGCAACTCACAGCAAACGCAAAACATGTCGAGACGGCCCTGCTGGGCCACTCGACGCCCGCGGGGAAGAACGGGCCCGCGGACCCCCCCAACATCAGGCAGGAGAGCGGAGCACGCCTCTTGCTGCGGACAGCTCGGCGGCGGCGTGCGCCGTCCTCGGCGCGCCGGCGCCCGGGCACCTGGCCTCCGGCGCTGGCCAGCGCGGCAGCGGAGAGCGCCTGCTCCCCCCACCTCCTCCTCCTCCTCCTCCTCCTCCTCCTCCTCCTCCTCCTCCTCCTCCTCCTCCTCCTCCTCCTCCTCCTCCTCCTCCTCCTCCTCCTCCTCCTCCTCCTCCTCCTCCTCCTCTCTCCTCCTCCTCATCCTCCTCCTCCTCCTCCTCCTCCTCCTCCTCTCTCCTCTCTCCTCTCTCCTCCTCCTCTCCTCCTCCTCCTCCTCCTCCGCCTCCTCCTCTCCTCCTCCTCCTCCCCTCCTCCTCCTCCTCCTCCTCATCCTCCTCCTCCTCCTCCTCCTCCTCCTCCTCCTCCTCCTCCTCCTCCTCCTCCTCCTCCTCCTCCTCCTCCTCCTCCTCCACCTCCTCCTCCTCCTCCTCCTCCTCCTCTCCCTCCTCCTCCTCCTCCTCCTCCTCCTCCTCCTCCTCCTCCTCCTCCTCCTCCTCCTCCTCCTCCTCCTCCCTCCTCCTCTCTCCCTCCTCTCTCCCCTCCTCCTCTCTCCTCTCTCCTCTCTCCTCCTCCTCCTCCTCCTCCTCTCCTCCTCCTCCTCCTCCTCCTCCTCCTCCTCCTCCTCCTCCTCCTCCTCCTCCTCCTCTCTCCTCCCTCCTCCTCCTTCCTCCTCCTCCTCCTCCTCCTCCTCCTCCTCCTCCCTCCTCCTCCTCCTCCTCCTCCTCCTCCTCCTCCTCCTCCTCCTCCCTCCTCCTCCTCCTCCTCCTCCTCCTCCTCCTCCTCCTCCTCCTCTCTCCTCCTCCTCCTCTCCTCCTCCTCCTCCTCCTCCCCTCCTCCTCCTCCTCCTCCTCCTCCTCCTCCTCCTCCTCCTCCTCCTCCTCCTCCTCCTCTCCTCTCTCCTCCTCCTCCTCTCCTCCTCCTCCTCCCCTCCTCCTCCTCCTCCTCCTCCTCCTTCCTCCTCCTCTCCTCCTCCTCCTCCTCCTCCGGCGTCGGGGGGGCGAGTGCGGCGTACATTAGGACGGGATCTGGCTTCGGGGGCGCAGATCTAGCGTATTTCAATTGGGTTCTGGCCATGGGAACGCGAGTTTTGTGTATATTCTGGCCTCGGGAGCGCGAACCTGGCGCAATTTTGTATTTTGCACACCAACCGTACGTAACTGCAGATTCTGGCTTTGGTAACACGAAGCTGACGTTACTCGGGGGCATCAGTTTGGCTCAAGCTATTGTTGGTCACAATTGCATACACATACACTCGATTGTCCCTAGCGGCAGGCACTGCGGCGACGATGACCCACATGCCTTCCATCATGCGCGGACGCCACCGCGCATTCCTTATCCATAACGTGCTGATTTGTTATGTGTGCGGCCAAGTATCGTGGGAAGGTCGCGCCCAGCAAGGTGACAACGTCAGTACGCAGGACATGCAACTTTTACAGGTTCTCCTTCTCTCGCGCCAGGAGGCCACCGATAGTTGCAGCGCGTTCCGATTCGCCAAGGCTGCCCCGTCTGCGTGCTATCCAAGGGATGGCGGAGCTTCTGACAGCCTCGCTGACACCGCCGCCGTCAGCGTTCGTGGCTTCGAAAACGACCAGGTCCAGCGTGCAGTGTCCTACTTGGGAGATAACGCTTCGTTTGGGCACTTTGCGGCGGATCTGGCCTTCGATACGAACGCCGCGTACAGGCCGACGCACGCGGACGACGCGGACGCAGCAGACCAGGCCAGCTTCTGGAATGAGTTCGAGGATGTGGTGACGGCCCAACTTCTGAGGAGGAACGGGGCCCTCACTCGGGATATCATGTCCGTGCATCCGCTCTTCGCCGGGGACACAATGGAGCAGTCCGCCCAGCGCGTCCGTGCGGACTTCCCCACGCAGTTTCCTACGGAGCAGATCATGAGCTACTTGGGCAGCATGGCGCTCACAATGGACCCCGAAATCTTCGGCCAGGCCAGTTGCGCGAGCACGGTCGAGTTTGTGAACGGCCCAGTGGCTCTGGGGAGGATTATCGGCTGGGCGATCGCAGAGGTGTCGCCCGCCGCCTTCGGGTGCAAGTGGTACGTCGGCCGCGCGCGGCCCGAGGAGGTTGCGTACAACCTCAGCCAGGGGGGGTTGAGCCAGGCCCCGGCCAACGTCAGGGCGATGGTGGACGGCATGGGCTTGACCACGCGCGAGTCTTTCACCGCCTATTCAGAAGGGTGCCCCGTGCACCCAGCTTGGCCGGCTATGCATTCGGCGGCCTCCTCTCTGTCGACTTGGCTTGACGTCGTGGCCCTCCTGACCCCAGCGCAGCGCAATGAGGTGCGACTCCTGGATTACTCTGTTGCTTACTTCCGCACGTTCGCAGGCGTTCACTACGATTCTGACAACCGTGCCGGCCTGGCGCTCGGCCAGAAGATCGTGAGGGAGAAGTTGCCGGACTACCTCTCGGAGAAGTACGGCTGCGACGCCGCCAGCAAGGCCACGATCAGGTCGCACGTGCAGACCAAGATCGCGTCGCTGGAGGTTCTGGATTGGGCAACTTGGACGCCCGATCATTGGATTCGCCCCTCCGCGTACTACTCCTCACTCCGACGCCGACAAGCGGATCGCGTCCTGCCCAAGAGCCAGAGCGGAGCATCCCTGTCTTCCACAGATACGACTGCGGCTATAGTGAAGCCGTCTGTGGCGCTGTGGGCCGGAGGATCCCACGGCAGCCCGCGAGCCGCCCAACGGAAGGCGCTGGCGGGCAACGACGGGTGCACCGAGTATCGTTTTGGAAAAGCTGCTGAAGGCGCATGTTACCCGCGGAGCGGTGGAGCCTCCGACAGCTTGAGGGAGACCGCCGCCGTCAGCGTCCGCGGGTTTCACGGTAACGACCAGGTCCAGGCTGCTGTGTCCCACTTGGGCGCGAACGTTTCGTTTGCACAAGTCGCTGCCGACTTGGGTTTCGACACGAATGTTGCACTCAAGCCGACGCACGCGGACGACGCAGACGCCGCCGACAAGAGTAGATTTTGGGCGGAGTTCGAGGAGGTGGCGGCAGCCCAGCTTCTGAGGATTCAAAACCGCAGAACAGAAGAAATCATGTCTGTGCATCCACTCTTCGACGGGGATACGATGGAGCAGTCTGCCCAGCGCGTCCGAGCTGACTTCCCCCCGTTCTTTCCGACGGAGCAGGTCATGGATTATTTGCAGAGCATGTCGCTGACGCTTGACCCCGACATCTTCAACCAGCCCAGCTGCACAAGCCGTGTCGAGTTTGTTAACGGCCCGGTGGCTTTGGGAAGGATTATCGGTTGGGCGATCGCCGAGGTGTCGCCCGCCTGCTTCGCTTGCAAGTGGGCCGTCGGTCGCGCGCGACCCGAGGAGGTCGCTTACGGAGTCATCCAGGGCGAGCTTCCCGATGCCCCCATGCGCGTCAAGCAGCTGATGGCCGACTTCGTGGCCGCCAAGCCTGTTGACAGCGCCGAAGACTTCACCGCGTACACCGAGGGCTGCCCTGTGCACCCGGCCTGGCCCGCCATGCACTCCGCCGCCTCCAGCTTGTCCTCGTGGTTGGACGTCGTCGCCATCCTCACCCCCGCGCAGCGCGAGGAGGTGCGGCTCCTGGACTTCTCTGTCGCGTTCTTCCGCACCTTCGCGGGCGTTCACTATGCGACGGATAACCGCGCTGGCTTGGCGCTTGGGCGGAAAATCGTGGAGTCGAAGTTGCCCGACTTCTTGGCCGAGACGTACGGCTGCGACGCGGCGTCCGCATCCGCGATCAGGGCGCGCGCCGCAGCCAAGATCCAGTCATTCAATTCGGGCACCCTGAGCGGGCACCCCTTCAGCTGGGCCACTTGGACACCCGAGAAATGGATCAGCCCAACGCAGTTCTTTGACGCATCCGGCAGCGCCATCGGTGACCCACACATGCGGAACATGTTTGGTCAGAGCTTTGACATCGCACGGACTGGCGAGCACGTGCTCATCAATATTCCACAAAGATGTGGCCCAGATGAGATTCTTCTTCGCGTGGGTGCGGAGGTGCGAAGCGACCGACATGCACATTGCGCGACCGACATGTACATCAAGGCGCTCAACATCACTGGTGCGTGGGCCAATGAGCAGCAGACGAATGGCTTCAGGTTTTTGGCGAGCCATCGTGGTCAGCGCTAGCCATGGAGGTGGTTCGGCAAGGTTGAGCTGAAGGTGGCGTGGGGCCGCACGCGCGACGGGGAAGATTACCTTAATTTCTATGTCCGCCACTTGAGCAATGTTGGTCACGCGGTCGGGGGTATCCTCGGCATCGACGATCATTCAGAGGCATCATTCCCGGACGAGAGGTGCAAACGCTCCCTCACGCTCGCTCTCTAATTACGCGGATTAAGTCGGATGCTCGTGCTGCGCTTGCGAGCGAACACTAAGAGCTCGTGTGGACTCTGCATACCTCATACATTGTCTGTATGCCTGTGTGGAGCAGTGTCGTATGAGGGCATCAAGAGGGCCCCAAAGGGCCCCAACCGAGCCCCAATATGAACCCCAGGATCGCCCTCGAGACGACCCCAAAATGTGATTTCGCCTGAGACATCCTCACCAAATTCATATGTTCGCAACGCCGATCTTATATCAAACGTAAGCGTCTCGCCAGAGACATCCCCAAACAAATGGGAAGCCGCGAATTTGACATATGTTCAGAAACTGGTGTATCGCCTGAGACATCCTCACACAAATAATATGTTGGAGAGGTGGTTGTATTACCTCTCATGTAAAAATTGCGCTTTCGCTGCAGACATCCTTAGAACATCGGGCGGAGCACGGCAGACGAAAACAAAACACGGCAGACAATGAGTATTTCTGCCGTGCTCCTTCGTTTTTGGGGTCTATCTGCCGTTCTCTTTAGCGCTTGGGGTATACTCTGCCGTGCTTCTGGTCTTCTTCTGCCGTACTCCTTCGCTCTTCGGGCCTGTTCTGCCGTGCTCCTGGTCTTTTTCTGCCGTCCTCCTTAGCTCTTGGGGTCTACTCTGCCGTGCTCCTGTTTTTTTTGTTGCCGTTCTCCTTCGCTCTTCGTGCCTCTTCTGCTGTGCTCCTTAGCTCTTGAGGTCTATTCTGCCGTGCTCCTGGTCATTTTTTGCCGTGCTCCTTCGCTCTTGGGGCCTCTTCTGCCGTGCTCCTCAGCTCTTGGGGTCTATTCTGCCGTGCTCCTGTTTTTTTCTGCCGTGCTTCTTCGCTCATGGGGCCTATTCTGCCGTGCTCCTGGTCTTTTTCTGCCGTGCTCTTTAGCTCTTGGGGTCTATTCTGCCGTGGTCCTGGTCTTTTTCTGCCGTGCCCCTAAGCTCCGGGGGTCTATTCTGCCGTGCTCCTGGTCTTTTTCTGCCGTGCTTCTTCGCACTTGGGGCATCTTCTGCCGTGCTCATTGTCTCTTTGGTTCTATTCTGCCGTGCTCCTCGTCTTTTTCTGGTTTGCTCTTTCGCTCTTCGGGCCTATTCTGCCGTGCTCCTGGTCTTTTTCTGCCGTGCTCTTTAGCTCTTGGGGTCTATTCTGCCGTGCTCCGGGTTTTTTTCTGTCGTGCTCCTTCGCTCATGGGGTCCATTCTGCCGTGCTCCTTCACTCTTCGGGTCTATTCTGCCGTGCTCCTGGTCTTTTCTGTCGTACTCCTTGGCTCCTCGGGCCTTTTCTGCTGTGCTTCAGTTTTTTTCTGCCGTCGTCCTGAGCTCTTGGGGCATCTTCTGCCGTGCTCCTGGTCTTTTTCTGGCGTTTTTTTCGCTCTTGGGGCCTCTTCTGCCGTGCTCCTCAGCTCTTGGGGTCTATTCTGCCGTGCTCCTGGTCATTTTCTGCCGTGCTCGGCAGCTCTTGGGGTCTATTCCGCCGTGCTCCTTCGCTCTTGCGGCCTCTTCTGCCGTGCTCCTCAGCTCTTGGGGTCTACTCTGCCGTGCTCCTGTTTTTTTCTGCCGTGCTCCTTCGCTCATGGGGCCTATTCTGCCGTGCTCCTGGTCTTTTTCTGCCGTGCTCTTTAGCTCTTGGGGTCTATTCTGCCGTGGTCCTGGTCTTTTTCTGCCGTGCCCCTGAGCTCCGGGGGTCTATTCTGCCGTGCTCCTGGTCTTTTTCTGCCGTGCTTCTTCGCACTTGGGGCCTATTCTGCCGTGCTCCTGTTTTTTTTCTGCCGTGCTCCTTCGCACTTGGGGCATATTCTGCCGTGTTCCTTGTCTCTCGGGTTCTATTCTGCCGTGCTCCTCGTCTTTTTCTGGTTTGCTCCTTCGCTCTTGGGGTCTATTTTCCCGCACTCCTTCAGCTCTTGAGGTCTACTCTGGCGTGCTCCTGTTTTTTTTCTGCCGTGCTCCTTCGCTCTTGGGGCCTATTCTGCCGTGATCCTGGTAGCTTTTGGGGTCTATCCTGCCGTGCTCCTGGTCTTTCTCTGCCGTGCTCCTTCGCACTTGAGGCATATTCAGCCCTGCTCCTGGGGTCTATTCTGCCGTGTTCCTGGTCTTTTTCTGCCGTGCTGCTTCGCTCTTGGGGCCTATTGTGCCGTGCTCCTGGTTTTTTTCTGCTTGCTCCTTAGCTCTTGAGGTCTATTCTGCCGTGCTCCTGGTCATTTTCTGCCGTGCTCCTTAGCTTTGAGGCGTATTCTGCCGTACTCCTTAGCTCTTGGGGTCCACTCTGCCGTGCTCCTTGTCTTTCTCTGCCGTGCTCCTTCGCTCATGGGGCCTATTCTGCCGTGCTCCTGATCTTTCTCTGCCGTGCGCGCCCAGAAGCTCTGCCAAAACGACCACCGCGACGATCCGCACGGCAGATACAGGAACACGGCAGAACACACAGAGCACACAGAGGCACGGCAGAGCACAGAAGCACGGCAGAACAGGAGCACGGCAGAACACACAGGAGCACAGCAAAACCCACCCCGCACGCACGCCGACACGCGCGCCATGGCATACCTGCGCGGCGTAACAACAACATAACATTTTCCACATGCTTGGTGGACTAAAGCGACGCTTCCCGTTCTTGTCCGGTCAGGCTTATTACCTCTCATTTAAAAACTGGCGATTTCGCTCGGAACATCCTCAGAAAATCGGGAGGGCGCGGCAGACTTCAAAATGGAGCACGGCAGAACATGATCATTTCGCCGGGGACATCCTCAACAAATGAGACGTTCGCAGCATCGCCTCGACATGGTTCTCGAAGTGCTTCGCGATGAAGAAATGAGAGCCCCAACAGGAGGCCAAGGTGGCTCCAACAGCGCCTTGGGGACTGCCGAAAATGACGATGCATCTGGTCATTCTGCCATACGACGGGAAGCGTCTTCGAGGTACGAGAAGCGAGCTGGACGTTTTGGCTGAATCCTCCTCATACCTGTAAGAAATCTCTTATGACGGGAAGCGTCTTCGAGGTACGAGAAGGCAGCTGGACGTTGTGGCTGAATCCGCCTCGTATCTGTAAGAATATCTCTAAGTATCTGGTGGCGCGCTGCACGGAGTCCTTTTCGTTGGCGGATGACGGGAAGCGTCTTCGATGTGCGAGAAGACGAGCTGGACGCTTTGGCTGAATCCGCCTCGTATCTGTAAGAAATCTCTTATAGTACGAGTGGCGGCGCTGCACGGGATCGTTCGTTGGCGGGTCCCCCCCAAATCAGCGATTTCGTTCGAGACGACCTCACACAATTGAGCTTTTCGCGACATCGCGTTTCACAAAAACAAGCGTTTCGCTCGAGACATCCTCGAACAGCTGATGGCAGCGAAATTTCGCCGTCTGGGAGAAATGGCGTTTCGCTCGAGACATCCTCGAACAACTGAGATGCTGGAGAAGCTGCTTTACTCCTCTCATATTTAAACTGACGATTTCGCTCGGTTCATCCTCAGAAAATCGGGAGGGGCGCGGCAGACCGAAAAAAGAAGCACTGCAGACCATTAGCATTTCGCTAGGGACATCATTAGAAAAATGGCCTTTGGGGCCTATTCTGCCGTGCTCCTTAGCTCTTGGGGTCTATTCTGCCGTGCTCCTGGGCTGATTCTGCCGTGCTCCTTCGCTCTTGGGGCCTATTCTGCCGTGCTCCTGATCTTTTTCTGCCGTGCTCCTTAGCAGAAGGGGTCTATTATGCTGTGCTCCTGGTCTTTCTCTGCCGTGCTCCTTCGCACTTGGGGCATATTCAGCCCTGCTCCTTAGCTCCTGGGGTCAATTCAGCCGTGCTCCTGGTGTTTTGCTGCCGTGCTCCTTCGCTCTTGGGGCCTCTTCTGCCATACCCCTGATCTGTTTCTGCCGCGCGCGCCCAGAAGCTCCGCCAAACCGGTCGCCGCGACGATCCGCACGGCAGAATACAGGAGCACGGCAGAACACACCGGGCACACAGAGGCACGGCAGAACACAGAACCACGGCAGAACAGGAGCACGGCAGAACACACAGGAGCACAGCAAAACACACCCCGCACGCACGCCGACACGCGCGCCACGGAAACCACGTCTGAAACCTTTTGTTTGGAAAACTGCATCTCAAGAGGTACTCGTACAAATCGGGCAAATACGTTTCTAAACCTAAAATCGGGAGGGGCGCGGCCGACCGAAAAACAGGAGCACGGCAGAAAATTAGCATTTCGCTAGGGACATCCTCAGCAAGATACACCCGGCACGCACGCCGACACGCGCGCCACAGAAACCACGTCTGAAACCTTTTGTTTGGAAAACCACATCTCAAAAGGTTTCGTTCAGATCTGGCAAATACGGTCCCAAATCTAAAATCGGGAGGGGCGCGGCAGACCGAACAAACGAGCACGGCAGAAAATTAGCATTTCGCTAAGGACATCCTCACAAAATGGCTCTTGGGGTCTATTCTGCCGTGTTCCTTAGCTCTTGGGGTCTATTCTGCCCTGCTCCTGGTCTTGTTCTGCCGTGCTCCTTCGCTCTTGGGGCCTATTCTGCCGTGCTCCTGATCTTTTTCTGCCGTGCTCCTTGGCAGAAGGGGTCTATTCTTGGTCTTTCTCTGCCGTGCTCCTTCGCACTCAGGGCTTATTCAGCCCTGCTCCTTAGCTCCTGGGGTCAATTCAGCCGTGCTCCTGGTGTTTTTCTGCCGTGCTCCTTCGCTCTTGGGGCCTCTTCTGCCGTGCCCCTGATCTGTTTCTGCCGCGCGCGCCCAGAAGCTCCGCCAAACCGGTCGCCGCGACGATCCGCACGGCAGAATACAGGAGCACGGCAGAACACACCGGGCACACAGAGGCACGGCAGAACACAGAACCACGGCAGAACAGGAGCACGGCAGAACACACAGGAGCACAGCAAAACACACCCCGCACGCACGCCGACACGCGCGCCACGGCATACTTGTGCGGCGTAACAGCAGCAGAGCATATTCCGCCTGCTTGGTGGACTGAGGCGACGCTTCCCGTTCTTGTCTGGTCAGATTTCGTTTGCGGATTCCCCAAAACAGCGATAACGGGGAGCGTCTTCGAGGTACGAGAAGGCAGCTGGACGTTTTGGCTGAATCCTCCTCGTATCTGTA